CTACAAAAACCCAATAAAAAGTTTTAAAACTTACAAGTCTCTTGAAACTTGAAAATATTGACAAGATCACTTGTAAAGTGAAAAATTATAGATAACCCCAAAACAATTATTATAAAAGCACCCTTAATAATATAAAACTTAGTAAAATAATTTTTTTTTGAAAGTTCAAAACTTAAAAAAACTAAAAATTTCAAAACATACAAGCAGTCGCTGACCAAACTTAAAATTTGCAAAAAAAAACAATTTTTTTTGAAAATTTCAAAAAACATATGAATTTTTTTTGAAATTCACAAAAAATCCTAAAATTCTCAAAACTTACAAAAGTATAATGAGATTCTAGGAACTCCAAATAGCCTCCTAAAAATGGAACTTGAAGAAAACAAGTTTTGTAAATTGCAAAAAACACCCTCAATTTTCTAATTTTACGAAAAAACATTTTAAGAATTTCAATCCTACAAAAAGCACAGTGAAAAATAAGAATTACAAACAAACCCCTTTAAAATTTTGGAATTCTCATAAAGCACCTTGGAAGTGGTACATTGTTGAATGGTAATAAGGAATGCCAATCTTTGAGAATTTTGTCATAATTTTTGAAAATTACAAAAAACACACTCATACTTCAAATTTACAAAAAACACCTTGAAAATTCAAACCTATAAGCAGTATATTGACAATATATGATTGCAAACAATCCCCTAAAATTTGAACTTTGCAGAAAACACAATTGAAGTTTCAAAAATTGCAATAAACTCCCTAAAAAATAAAAAATTTACAAAATGAACTGTGAAATTTTTTAAGATGCAAACAGTAAACTAGAAATTTTATAATTTTTAAATTTGCAGAAAACACTAAGAGTTTAGAAAATTGCAAAAAACACCTTCAAAGTTTAGAATTGTCAAATCTTTGAGGAGGTTATTTATAAGTTGTTAGTTACGTGATGTCTTGTGATTTGGCTAACATATAGGAAAGCTTCATTGATTCGGTCAGATCTAGTATAGTACTCCCTTAGAATTTTAGTAGATTTGGCAGATTCTGATCTTTCTATTACAGGGAGCAAGAATGGAGAGGTCTCAATCTTGAAAACCCAAACATAATATCATGAGTAGCGATTACTATGCACATGCAAGATCACCATAAACGACATAGTCTCATACAGATTAAATGAAAAGGAAACAGTTGTGGTGATCAAAAGAAACCAGAAATGAGGATTCAAAAGACAGAAAAATAACCAAATAACATACACTCTGTTTACTATTATTTCATTGCCTACACAAATTGACCCTGATAAGTGCAGCAGTGACCAGACATGCACAATGAACAACATTTTCACACTGCAATTTTATTGTCCTCAAGCTGCTCTTTTCCAACAACATCATGATCGTTGGTTTTCCACATTGTTGGAGAGTAATGGGACCCAACAGGAAATTAATGGGTGTTAAACAGAGGCTAGAAAGAAAATTAATTAACCTAAAAGGTTAAGCTATTGGTTATCGATTCAAAGACTCCTGACTTTGTATTGAAGTCCACCCCTCTTTCTTTTTCCAATGTGGGATTGTACTCACATATGAAATTCACCATCTCCGTCTTCATTTGTGAGTATAACTCAATCATCCACGAGAAGCATGGGCCCTTTGCTAACTTAGTTTGATCTGACAACCATGGAAAGGTGACCTCGCTACTCGATATCCGCATGGAAAGGCGACCTCGTTACTTGATATCCGTAGGGCCTTCCGTGACATGTGGTCTAACCACACCCTCCTATGAGCAATTCCGAATACCATCCATCATGGTTACCTAACTTTTGGTCCAAACCAGCAACCATTCAAGTGGAACATGGCTACCAACACTTGTAGTAACTTCCAACACGTGGGCTAACTAGACCTAAGTTACCCTGACTTGGACTAAACCAACAAATATGAGCAGCGTAACACCCGACCATCCTAGAATCTTCCACCATCCAGGACCTGGTGTCTAACCTGACCTCATCATTCTTCTAGCACCTTCAGGCTTCACATGGGTTCCATTCTCCCCTAGACCACAACCTGAACCTTGATATAACTTTTAGTGGAGTAATCAGCCGAACCAGAAGTTGATGAGCCTTAAACAGAGCATAGGAACCAAATTAACCTAAAAGGTTAGTCTATAAGGGTGTGTTTGGCAAAGGATTGTGTGGAGGGTTTAAAGGGTTTTACCTTTCACTAACCTAGCAAAAACTCATTTGTGGTTGAGAGGTTTGTTAACATGTGCCAACGGGTTAAGACCAGTAATCCATCATTTTGACGGGTTACCTATTCTGCATATGTAGGTGGTGTAAGAATTAACCTGCTTCGCGTGGGGGGACAAAGGATGTAGTTTAATATTATAAATGTAATTCGTGAGAGCCATCTGTGGGTGGCTAGTTTAATAGTCTTTATATTTCAATATTCACTGGGTTAGGACTACTTAATATTGTAATATTTTAAAAATAATGTTAGGGGCACACCCCCTAACACACCACCAACCACACCCCCCTCTCCCATCGCTACAGTAAACCGGGCCCCACATAGGATTTTAAAAATTTTAAAATCCCATGTGGGGCCCGGTGTACTGTAGCGATGGGAGAGGGGGTGTGGTTGGTGGTATGGTAGGGGGTGTGCCCCTAACACCACTCATATTTTAATACACCATGGCTATACAAGAACAGTGTGTAATTTAATATTTTATTATTATTAATTGTAAATTGTAAGAACCCGCCATTGCTAAGTGGAGGCTGTTTTAATATTTTATTATTTCTATTTTAATATTTTAATGTTTCAATGCCCGCCTCCCTGTGGCTATTGTCTTATGTTTTGCTTCTTGTTAACTTTGAACATGTTCATCTAATGTTTGCTTTTCGCTTGGGGATGAACATAACCTGTACAATTTGCTTTACTAGTCGACATTGTACCTATTGAAAGCTTTGCCAAAAACAACTTTTCTTTTGAAAATTATGAACATAGTTCAGTAATTAATTTGTTGTGTGCTTGCATTTTGGAAAGGGAATTGGAACATATTTTTTGGACAATCAATAGTAATTTTCTTATTTTTGATAATGTTAAAGTTGGTACTTTTAAAAAAGTTGGCAGGATTAATATCTTTAACCTTTCTTTAATTGGCAAACACAAAATATTCACCCTTCACTTTAACGATATAATCCAAGCAACATTAAATTATAATTAACCTGTCATGGTGGGTTAACTAGTTTAACCATTCTCCTTAACCTTCCTTCCCTATCTTCACCTAAGATATTGATCCCAACTATCTATTTAAGTTCACTATTCTTTCTTAACTTTTCCATTGTGGGATTATACGCATATGAAATATTCACATATGAGATTCCCAACACATAACAGATGCAGAGGAAAAGTATGGTCTGAACAGTTTGTTTTAAGTTTTGTCTCAAAATAAAAAATTAAAAACATGGAAATTAAAACATACTGTTACTAGTTGAAATTTGAACACGTCATATGCATCTTTTTTTTTTCTCCCCTACTTTCCTTGTTCCATTCTCATGTCATCATTTGAAAATCTTATTAAGCAACAAAAGTACAGACTTACATCAAGAAGCAAAGCAGTAAGGTACAGAGGTAATGCTCTATGTCCCGTGTTTGTCACATATACACTATGCAATCTCCACATTCCAGCCCCTCTTGATCAATTAAAGGGTCGGATCTGGTTAGCATAATAACATTAATCTTTTTACTTTTTACCTTTTGAGTATGATTTTTGAAGGTACCTGCTGGAACTACTTTTGCTAATTAGTGTCCTAGGGGCTAGAATACTACAAAGTCGATAACAGTTAAACTATAACATACCAAAATTTCCCTTTTAGATTTGTTTTTGCTTTTGACTGGGGCTCTTTAATTTTTTTTTTGGGGTGGGTGGGTGGGGGTGGGGGGGATTTGCTAATGGACAAGAAATTCAAACAACCTTAATGATGTTGGTAGTTATCATTATAAACGACACCCTTGTTTTCCTTACTTTGCCTGACTATACCAATGACCCTAGAGGTGTCGTGAAGAATCTGTGTAAAAACTTTAGAATGCCACCAAAAAGAGCTGCTTATGAGAATCAAAAGCAAAATTGAATTAATTATTCATTCAAAAATATGAAAACTAGGGGCTAGAATACTACAAAGTCGATAACAGTTAAACTATAACATACCAAAATTTCCCTTTTAGATTTGTTTTTGCTTTTGACTGGGGCTCTTTAATTTTTTTTTTGGGGTGGGTGGGTGGGGGTGGGGGGGATTTGCTAATGGACAAGAAATTCAAACAACCTTAATGATGTTGGTAGTTATCATTATAAACGACACCCTTGTTTTCCTTACTTTGCCTGACTATACCAATGACCCTAGAGGTGTCGTGAAGAATCTGTGTAAAAACTTTAGAATGCCACCAAAAAGAGCTGCTTATGAGAATCAAAAGCAAAATTGAATTAATTATTCATTCAAAAATATGAAAAAAGATTGAATAACTATATGTTTATATGCTTTTTAAGATAGGTCCAAGGCAAGTGGAACCTCTATTCGGGACAGTAATGGTTCTTTTGCCATGGAGTGCTGAAAGATTATAGTACCCAAAAAAAAATCTTTTTCTTCCTCTGTCTTCTTAAAAATATCTTCCAAAGATTTATTCTTCTCTTTTTCTGAACTGTTTATTTTGAAGATCTGTTTGGAAGCTTTGTCAAGAGAGATATTGTTAGGTAAATATTGTATTTATGCATTAATCTCGTGGATGTTTTTGTTTGCTCATTGGTATGAATATATTGCTTGCTCCATCTAGCTTATTCATTCTGCAATCAAGTTCATATTTTACAAGATCTCAGGTTATAATGTCACAGTATTAAAATCATGCATTGACAACATTTAACAGTTGAAGATAACCCGCGCAGGATTTAGACTCACATACATGTTCAATATACTTATGTTGTTTATATACTTATTTCTTACCAGCCTCCTTACTTGACATGTCTAAGAACAGGAAGACAAACCAGAAAGACATATTTTAATCAACAATGACGAACATCTTCAGGAAAAAGAAGCAAGCAAAGAAGATTATGATGCTGTACTGGACGGGGAATTCATCAAGGTGGAGAAGGAAGTGGGAGATGCGAAGGAGAACTCCCAATCACACAGATCTATAGAAGTGGAAGAGATACAAAACAATGAAGCAACCAGCATAAATTTGTTGGAAGCTGGAGAGAAGATCAAATCTCTTGAGATCCAACTTGAAAAGGTCACCAAGGAATTGCATGATTCTGAATCCGAGAAAGCGTTGTTGAAATCTGAGGCTGATTCAGCTAACAAGAAACTTGATACAATAAGTAAGCACGGTGAAGAACTTGAACTTGATAACAACAGGATGAAAGAAGAGATTTCAGCAGCTGAACAAAAATATAGTATGCAAGTTGCATCACTTGAAGAGGCATTGGGAACTCTAGATGTGAAGCAAAAGGAACTGAGAGACTTGAAGGATTCATTCCATGGAGCGTCAGCTGAGCTAGAGAATTCTAGAAAGAAGTTGGAGGGGCTTGAAGCGGAGCTGGCATTATCAGCAAGTGAAGCAAGGAAATTGGAGGAATTGTCAAATGAGAGAAGTTCACATGCAGACATACAATCAAAGAGGGCCTCAGAGTTGGAGAAGATGCTTGAACTTGCAAAATGCAGTGCAAAAGATATGGAAGATCAGATAGGTAATCTGCAGGAAGAACTTAAAGGCCTGTATACTAAGGTTTCAGAACACATGCAAGTCGAAGAAGCACTCAATCGTTCCACATTGGAACTTTCAGCAGTTCAGGAAAAGTTAAAGCTTTCAGAATCTCAGGTATTAGAGTTAGAGCGGAAGTTTGCTTCCAAGGAAGATATTATAAAGGAACTGACTCAAGAATTGGACGTCCATAAATCCTCTCAAGAGAGGATGAAGGAAGAGTTTTTAGGGCTTGAGGACATGCTTTCTTCATCCAGAGATGAAATCCAGTCAAAGATTATTAACTTGGAAGAAGCTGAGCTGAAACTTCAACAGGAGATTAAATCCAGGGAAGATGTTGAGGCTAGTTTGAGAAACCAAGGGATGCAGATGCTAAGCTTGCAGGATGAGTTCAAGAAATTGACAGGTGAAAAGGAAGATCTTCTTAGTACTGTGGCTGATCTAAACACAAACTTATCCCTTACAAAAGAACTATGTGGCCAGTTGGAGGACAAATTTCTTGTTGCAGACCAGAACTTTAACAAAACAGATTCACTCCTCTCACAAGCTCGCTCTTACAATGCAGAGCTTGAGGAAAGGCTGAAGTCACTTGAAGAGCTTCATGGAGAATCCAGAATGGTTGCAGAGACTGCTTCCCAGAGAAACCTTGAGCTTGAAGGTCTAATTCAATCATCCTCTGCAGCTGAAGAGGGGCTTAAGGAACAACTGAGAGAAAAAGAGGTGAAGTTGATTTCTGCTGAGCAGAAGAATGTAGAGTTTGAGGAACAGATGGCTCTCGCAGAATTAAAATTCACTGGCGCAGAAAGTGAAATTAAATTGCTCACTGAGAAAATATTGGAGCTCACTGTTAAATCAAGCAATCTTGAGGAAGAAAGGGAGCTATTGAAAGGCCAGATCCAGCAAGATAAAGAAAAGATTAGCCAACTGGAATCATCTTTGAGTGAAGCTGATTCTAGAAGCTCAAAGCTTGAACAGGAGGTAAAGGATCTTGCAGAAGTACGTGATGCACATGAAGGACGAGCAGCTGCAGCACATCAGAGACTTGCATTCAGCATGTCTCAATCACAAACAAGCAGGAGATGCTGGAAGAACGGGGAAGAATTAGAGCTGTTGCTGGAAAATGCACGCCAACTAAATGAAAACCTGGAACAGTTAGCAAGCGATGCAGAAGCCAAATACAGAGATGCTGAAGCAGAATCAAAGCAATACAGCAGCAGAGTTTCTGAGCTTTCTACAGAACTGGAAGCATATAAAACAAAATCAGAAAGCCTAGAAATTATTGTCCAAGAAACAAATGAGAAGGAGAGACAATTGACAGATATGTTGAACAAAATTACCGAAGAAAAGAATGAACTTGAAGAGTTGTCAAACATCTCAAGCGAAAAGCTTTCACAGGCTGAAAAGTTCATTGAGGAATTGCAAAATGAGATGAAATCTGCACGAGGGAACTTGGAAAGCATCGAGGAAGAGCTCAAGGCATCAGGTATAAGAGAGAATGAGATTCTTATGAAACTCAAGTCTGCTGAAGAGCAGTTAGAGCACCATGGAAGGACAGCAGAGCAAGCTTCTACAAGATGTTTGGAGCTAGAGTCAAATCATGAATCTTTTCGAAATGAATCAGAGCTCAAACTCCAAGAAGCAATCAGTGGCCTTACTCTTAAAGATTCAGAAGCTAAACAGTTAAAAGAGAAGGTAACGTTCCTTGAAGAGGAAGTAATAATCCATCAGCGTGAAGCAGTAGAAGCTGCTGAAAAAGTTGCCTCATTAGAGGCAGAACTGGAAGCAAGTGCAGCAAGATTTTTTGCTTTAGAGAACACAGTTGAGGAACTTAAAGAAAAGTTCTCAGATTCTGAAACAAATCTTGAGCAGTCCTATTCAGAGAATGAATTGCTGGCAGGAACAAATTCACAGCTTAGATCAGAGTTGGAAGTCCATCAGGCTAAAGTTAATGAGCTTAATGAGCTGCTAAGCTCCATTCATGCAGAGAAGGAGGCAACTGCTGAGAAACTGGCTTCTCATATAAAAACTATAGAAGAATTGACTAATGAACATTCAAGAGGCTTGGAACTCAACTCTGCAACTGAATTGCGCTTTAGAGAAACAGAACTCCAACTACATGAAGCTATTGAGAAGTTTACTCAGAGAGACTCTGAAGCAACAACCCTGAATGAGAAGCTGCTAGCACGTGAATCACAACTGAGAAGGCATGAGGAACAACTTGCAGAAGTGAACACTTTTGCAGAAAATAAGAATGTGGAGTTGGAGGAGGCTTTACTTAAAATGCAGAACTTGAAAACAACTATTGAGGAGATGCAAGGCAGGGCTCATCAATTTGAAACAGAGAATGAAGGTTTAGCCCGAGCAAACATGCTTCAGACCGAACAGCTGGCAACATATGAGACAAAAGTGAATGAGTTAGAGACATCACTGCATGCAGCTGTTGCAGACAAAGAGGATGCATTGTTGCAGCTTAAGTCATCGAAAAAGACAATAGAAGACCTGACACAACAGCTTGCTTCTGATGGGGACAAGCTCCAATCCCAGGTTACTATATAATATTTCCGCAAAAAAAAAAAAAAAAATTCATTCAATTTATAAAAAAGTGCATATAGATCCTATTCTGAAAAAAGCATGGTTTGCCTTGTGGGGAGTTCATGTAAGACATCAAAATTGAAATGACTTCAAATTCTAAGAAGATAGGTTTCCCCCCCTAAGAAGATAGTTTTTTTTCCCTTTCCAGATATTCTCTGTTATGGAAGAAAACAACACGCTCAATACAATGTATCAGAATGCGAAAGAAGAACTACAGTCAGTTACAGTGCGGTTGGAAGAACAAAAGGCAAGGGAAATCTCTCTTAATTCTGAGTTAGACAGCCTAAAATCAGAGGTAGCAAAAGAGTCTCTTCTAATATCATGCATTGCTTGCTTTTAATTTTAATGCCATCTCAGTTTATTTTTTTCCTTGCACCCTAAGTATGCTTATTATGAATACTCTTTTACTAGATTGCGAGAATGAGAACAGCAGCTTCAGAGGAGGAAGCAGCAATATCTTCTAAACTCGAGGAACACTCAAATATACTCTGTGAAAGAGATGGTCTCAACGAAAAGTTAAAGCTGCTCCGGGAGGAACTCACTCTTGCTCACAACAGTATAGCAGAGCAGGTTTGTTCTCAACCATTGATTTTTTCCCCCTTTCAATTGTTGCTGCATGCATAAACTTCAGTCTTGGTGGCCTTAAAGAGTGCTTGATCATGGAATTTCATATATAATTCCTTCATCTGGTGTCCTCCAATTGTAAGATTGTAATTGTATCCTTTATCAATGTATTTTAAATTTTTCTTTCAATGGTCAAGGGTTTTGAATTGGGCTAGCTACAACTTTTCTTGAAAGGCCAGATTTATAGTTTGATTCTTTTTTTATTATGGCCAAAGTATCTGTATATCTATGTCCACAAACAGGCACATGTATTTCATATTCAATTAAAATGGATAAGAATACATAAAGTTCTATTATAAGGTCAGGACATGACACAACTCAAGGCCTTCATATGTGACAATGTGTTGCCACAGACAAATATTTGACTGCCTGACAAGGGAGGTTAGAATGTTGGTTAACTAAAGTTATGGTGTATGCTCAACTCTTCTACCTTTTCTTTTTACCTCTGCTAATAAATTTACGAAGAAAGTCTAGCGTGTTTCTATGAATACGAAAGATTTACCTGATGAGATGAGAGAAAATGGTGAATGGTGGTGGGGCTTGTTATGAAAGACAAGTTGTTCACAATAGTGCATAAATGCATACCTTATGGTTTGAAAAAAGAGTTTGTTCACCTCATATTAACTTCTATCTGATGTTGGTGGCATTTTCACATTCCTTACGCTGAATTGGTTTCTTTTCCCTTTTAATAGAAAGAATCAGAATCCAGAATGGTGCTTGAAAGAGATGCTGTGAGAGAACAGACCCTTGGAGAGATGGAAGCTGAGCATCAGCGTGCCGTTCTTCTAGAAAAGCAAGTGGAGGAGTTGAAGCAGAAGTTGCAACTAGCTGAAACACAATATAATGAAAAGGTTCAAACTATGTCTTTTGCTGACGACTCAATTAATTAGTTATTAATACTCATTGTGGAAGTTATTCCTTTTGTTAATATAGAATCTTGTTCTACAGCCGGGTATAAATGCCTAAAATTTATCAATAATCTTAATATCCTGTTACATTTGTCTTTCAGGTTGCAGAAGAAAGCAAAAAGGTAGATCTTCTCAATGTTGAGCTCATTGATTTGAAACATAAACTTAGCCAGAATGTCGAGCTAGAAAAGAAAATTGCTGATCTCCAGAACAAACTTGAGAATGCAAAATCTTCGAAGCAGGCAAGTTCAGCTAATAAAGATCACCCTGATCTTTTCCCACTGAAATCATGTCCAAAATTGTTAAAATGTTTCGACAAATCTGTTATGTTTGCAGCCTAAAGATGCAACTATAGAAGGCAGTTCAAATGCAGGAACAGAGGTTAGATCCAGAGAGCTTCCATTTGATAATTTATCAGCACCCACACCAAAAAGGAACAAAGGAAACGAAGGAGTGCATAGATCTACAGCAGATGTGACTCCTCTCAGTCCACCATCAGGGATCATGGCCTTCAAGTTCATCCTTGGTGTTGCCTTGGTGTCTGTGGTCATCGGCATCATTCTGGGAAAGAAATATTAGTATTCAGTTTGTATTCTGTCTCTTCTCTTTTCTTCGTCATGTAACGTAAAGCCGGGAAAAAAAAGAACAGGAGAGAGAAGGGGAAAACAAGGTCATGAAATAATAGATTTTGAGGTCAGTTTTGAATGGGGTTTTGATTTTGTGGGTCATCATTTCTTAAGAGAAGCTATGATGATTGTTGGTGAGAAGTTCTTGGTTGTGCAAAGATCGGATGGGGATTTGTTTTTGATTAATTCCTATCCATTTTCCAGTACATGCATGAGGGGCTTCTGCATGCAGTTCAGATTTGTGATGTAATTCTTTTTTTTTTAAATGCCTTGTAAGTAAATGGTACTAGGTCTGTGCTTGTGATATTTTTTGTTGAGGTCTGCATATCAGTTATTTTATGTTCTTGCAATATGTTTGTAGCATTTTGGATCTTTTGATTGCCCTAAGTATCCTAGACTGGGAGGCAGGGGGAAAAGTGATAAATTAGCATATGTTTATGGAAACAGTTGAGACAATTTTAAGTACTTTGAGACAATTTTAAGTATTTTGTTTACGATGCAAACCACCCTATAAGAGTGGAGGCTTCTCATAAGGGGTTGTTTGATTCGCCACGTTTATAGAAAATTTTATGGAAACATCTGACAGTGACATTTTCATAATTAAGTTATTTCTACAGATTTCGTAAAATTCAGTTTGGTTTACCAACTTTTTCATAGAGACGGGTTTCTTCAAAGTAGAAAAAAGGGGTATATTTTGTAGAAACCAACTTCCTCTCTATTTGAGAGCAAATCAAGTAGAAATCTGACAAAATCCATTTTATTCTATCTAAGGTAATTTTATCTTATCTATAAGATATTACCTCTCTCTATTTTATAGAAACGTTTTCTTCTCTCTCAAGTGAACGGAAAGGAATGGCGAAAATAATTCTCTTCTTTTTGAGTTTTCCTATTTTGTGCTTTTGAATTAAACTAGGAAAAGTATAAAAGATAGAAACCCCAACTTTTTGAGACTACCAAAAAGAATTTCCCTAAAAATTTATAGAAACACTTGGAAACTATTTTTTGCATATATATTTAGTTTATTTATGGAAATCGTACTAAATAGTCCCTAAGGCTAATTCTCCACTCCACCCTAATAAAAAATATTCACACGCTGTCCTCGCATAAAGATTCTTTATGCGGATGATCATCTATGATTAGGGCAAGCCGGTTAACCACCTTGTAAAAGAGAATGCGAGCATCTTTACTCTCACACTCTCTCTCTACATATAAAAAATGAAAAATTATGTCGAGACCTTAAAAAATAAAAACCCGAGACCTCAAAAAAATAAGGGAAAAATGTGTCCAGGCCCCAAAAGTGGGAACTTCGTGTGACTAGCCCCCATGTACTTTGCCCCATGTGGAATAGCCCCAAATACGCATAGTATTTGCGACGAGGCCTCGAATTGACTTTTTTTTCAGAAAAAGCCAGAGGAAGTTACGATCTTGCCCTCTGATGGGACTGAGCTGGGTTAATGTGCCCCTCACCTTTACAAGTACTCTCCCTCTCTTTCTCTCTCTCTTCCACCTAGCACCGCCATAAAAAACTCTTCATCTTCCTAATTTCTGTACGGATTTCAACGTTTCTAGGGTTTTCACCGGAAAAATGTCGTCTACGGAAGAATCCAGTAACGACTACGAGGTCGGGCACCGAGCCTAGTTGGAAGGAAAAGGCGCTTCATCTGCGGGTGGCAGCACTGAGGAAGCTACGGAAGCTACGAAAACCCTAATCGAAATGCAAAAGGAGGCATTACAATGGCGAGACCAGAAAAGGAGGACGACAATGGCTGGTCGTACCAAAGAACCCCCCTCAAAAAAACAGTAAGTGTTATGTTATACCACGAAGAGACAATGCAGATTAACCCAATATTGTTAGTTCTAGGCTTATGTTATACTGCGAAGAGACAATGCAGATTAACCCAATATTGTTAGTTCTAGGCTTATGTTATACTGCGAAGAGACAATGCAGATTAACCCAATATTGTTAGTTCTAGGCTTTGTCCAATGTTAGTTCTAGTTTGAGTCCATTGTTAGTTCTATAACACTACGTGTTAGCTCTATTTTGTTCCCGTTAGTGCTAGGTCTAATATTGTTTCATATGTCTTATTGAACTTACAAATTCGAAAATTTTTTGCAGGGAAAAAATTGCTCTAACAGGCTCAGCAGAAACACTAAGGTTAACGGCCAATATCGGGGCTTATTGGGCATTTATGAAGCGCCTTGCCCCGAAGATCCGTCAGTGGCATAGGGATGCATACTGCGGTTCTATATTTCAGCACTACATTTTGTTTGGGGCTCCTGCGCCTGATCGGCCCACCCTTGAGCTGCTGCTGAGCTTTTTCGATAGAGATAATAACACCTTTTGTATACCTGATTCAAAAAGTGGGGGTATGAAAAATGTTAGTTTTGATTTGCAATGGGTCCACAACCATACTTATTTCCCAATTTATGGGGAGGACATAAGGAACAATAGGGACTCAAGAAGCAGAATATGGCTGGAATACTTCGCTAAGCTTTTCATTTCTGAAGAGGGTAAGAAGTTAAAAAAATCAGAAACCAGCCAACGTAAACATCTTGAAGGGCTACTTGAACGGCTTGTTGAATCTACCAAAAAGCGGGATATCGAGGATTTTGCTCTGCTACAAATTTTGTACCAATGCTCTATGATATGGAGTCCCATAGCAGGGGAAGGTATCCCTAGACCCTTACTCAGGTACCTGGATAGCATTCAGAGGGTCAATTCTGTTGCATGGGCCCCGTTCTTTTATAATGAAATTATCAGGGGTATTGGAGTTGCTTTGGAGGGAAAGAAGAAGCAAAAGGTCGCATATGTCCCAGGTTGCATGACGCTATTGTGTGTAAGTTCCATATTTTACTGATCTTGTTTCATTCTTGTTCGTACCTATGCATTGTTAGTTCCTATTGTGTGTAAGTTCCATATTTTACTGATCTTGTTTCATTCTTGTTCGTACCTATGCATTGTTAGTTCTAACTTATTCTATGTTAGTTCTATTCTTTCATTCTTGTTCGTACCTATGCATTGTTAGTTCTAACTTATTCTATGTTAGTTCTATTCTGTAGCGTATTAGTTCTAATCTGCACAGTGTTAGTTCCGTTCTGGAGAGTGTTAGTTCTAATCTGCAGATTAGAACTCACACGCTACAGACAGATTAGAACTAACACTCTACAGAATAGAACTAACACTGTGCAGATTAGAACTAACACTCTACAGAATAGAACTAACACTGTGTTAGTTCTATTCTGTAGAGTGTTAGTTCTAATCTGCACAGTGTTAGTTCTATTCTGTAGAGTGTTAGTTCTAATCTGCACAGTGTTAGTTCTATTCTGTAGAGTGTTAGTTCTATCTGCACCCATTTATATCTGCACCCATGTAAGTTCTATCATAGGTCATGTTAGTTCTATCATAATTCATGTCGTACCACGTACTAATTTACACCATGTTAGTTCTAGATGTAGCCATATTTTATTCTTTTTGGTCTAGTCTAGTATTAAATGTTAATGGTAAATATATTATTTGGTACAGCTTTCGTACTACGAGATGACAGGCATAAAGAAATATGCCCTCTTAGACACCTCCAGACCTCCAATGACAAATTGGGCATCAGGGGAGGAGAGAATCGCATCTATGAGGATGCCGACAATTATTTCAAAGGCTAAGTCAGCGTCAATAACATTTGTCCATAGGCCTATTGCGGAGGTCGCTTCTCCTGGTCATGTTCATCCACTTCCCGCTGAACAAAGGGATGAAGTTCTTCAGCAAAAGCGTCAGGCAAAGAGGAAGACTTTGCAGGAAGAAACTACTAAGAACTTCTCAATAGGTTACGTAAGTATCCTGTTATGTTAAGTCGTACTCATTTCACACTAACTGCAAAGAATATCCTAATTATGTTTAATCCTACTTAAAATTATAATCTTGTATCAATAACAGATCATGGCAAAGCATATTGACGTTGCTTTTGACGATGAAGAGGAGATCAATGTTCTTCCCATTGAGCAGCAACTCACATTTTGGAGAAATTCTGCTAAATTTCTCAAGCGACTTCTTGATGCTACAAAGCAGACCAAGAGCAAATATTGTAAAGAATTCATGATTGAGATCAACAGGCTTAACAGGATAATTGAAAAATGTGGAAGACATGATGAGGTTATAGACCCGGTGCTGCTTAAGTCAAATATCAAACAGAAAATTGCAAATAAAATTAGGAAGAAGCGACGGGGAGCTCAAGAGGAACAGAAGTCCAAAACAAGCAGTGTATATAAGGAAGAGCCCACCAGTCAAGAACATGTACATAAGATTGTTGAAGAGGATGTAAAGCATCCTGCTGACGATGAGGCAATAGAAGAGGAGCCTGTTACTTCTCCAGGGGAGGGGGTATATAGTAAGGTTGACCAGACTGTAGATACTAAGGTTGATGATAGTGTAAATAAGGAAGAGGAGCATATGCAACATATTGTAGATATGGAAGAGGAGCATATGGTAGATAAGGAAGAGGAGCATATGGAAGATATTGTAGATAATGAAGAGGAGCGTATGGTAGATAAGGAAGAGGAGTATATGGTAGACAAGGAAGAGGAGCATATGGAAAATGAAAATTTTATTGTAGATAACAAAGGTTTTGATGAGGATACTGTTGATGGTGTAGATAAGGAGGAAGATATTGTAGATAAAGGCAAGGAGAATGTAGATAAGTTGGAAGCACAGGAGGAAGAGGATCTTGTGAATATTGAACATAATGTGGACAAACTTGTAGATGTTCTAACGAGCAATGTGAAAGCAAAGCGTAGACCAAAGGCAAAAAGGGTAAGCAAGAGATCTAAATTCAAGAGGACACCATATACTGAAGGCAAAAGAAAGAAAAAGGAAAAAATTAGTATAGATATACTTGAAAGTCCTGAACCAAAAGTAAAACTAGCTGAAAAAGTTACTCATTTTTATCCCGGTATTCAAATCCCCACTTTTGATGCGTTGAGTTTCAAGCCAATGACAGATGAAGAGGAAGCTCTATTGGGAGAGCTGAATAATGAGCTTCCAGACCCTACATTGTTTAACTTACGCATAATAGATAGCACAGGTGCTTTTGTACATAATTTAAAGATACCATCTCCCGTAGCAGAAAGACTCGACAAAGCTGAAATTGATAGCCTAACCAAATTTTGTTCTCAGAAGATTCACAAGTAAGTTTCAGTTGACTATTTATATGCTAATTCTCCACATATTAGTTCTAATTCATGTTAGTTCTAATTTATACCAGGAGATATAATGTTATAGTAACAACCAACAGCACTATTAACAGGGAAGAGTTGTTATATGTGCTTCGTGGTGGCCGCCTTGACGACAAGGTTAACATATACTTCCTTAATAATTCAAATTATATTGTTTAAATTGAATTTTAATGTTTCATAACAATTACAGGTGGAAGAAGCAGTTTTGGACACGATTAGCCAGGAGGCATACGGCAAAGGATATGGAGTGGTATCGGTGTTCTTTCTTGTAAGAACATGCTATTCCTAATTTCACCACGTTAGTTTTGATTGAAATTCATGTTAGATCTTGTGTAATCCATGCTAGTTATACCATGAGTCACGTTAGTTCTAGTTAGCATCAAATTAGACCTACCATAAGTCATGTTAGTTCCGTTCTTTAGAGTGTTAGTTCTATTCTGTAGAGTGTTAGTTCTAATCTGCACAGTGTTAGTTCTATTCTGTAGAGTGTTAGTTCTAATCTGCACAGTGTTAGTTCTATTCTGTAGAGTGTTAGTTCTGTTCTGCACAGTGTTAGTTCTAATCTGCACAGTGTTAGTTCTAGTCTGTACAGTGTTAGTTCTATTCTGTAGAACGTTAGTTCTATTATGTAGCGTGTTAGTTCTATTCTGCACAGTGTTAGTTCTATTCTGTAGCGTGTTAGTTCTAATTAATACGGTGTTAGTTAGCCTTCGCAGCTCATGTTTGTTTTAATTTCAACTCAAACATGATGTGTTTGCAGCACTCACTCTATGGCTTTGAGGTGAACAATTACGAGCTTTATTTGAACTTCATTGACAAATATACCGTATTCCGCATAGAGCATCTCTTGATCCCTTTGGTCAGGGACGACCATTGGCATCTTGTAGAAGTTGACCTTAAAGATAAAGTCGTCAAGCATTACAGCTCCGCTGGGCACGAAGCTTGGATGGAGCCTGTTAATAAAATCATAAACTTCTTTGATGCCCATCATGCTGATTTTATTGAAGATAATGTGCGCCAAATATTTAGATATCAAGCCATCAAATGCGAGCAACAAAGAGGACGGTTAGTTCCGATGTCTATATTGTTCAAATTTGTGTTATAGTATTCGAACGGACCGAAAATGTCTAATGAACTCACTCTATGTTGCAGCTTTGACTGTGGTGTGTTCGTCTACCTCTTTGTAAAATCCATAATTGAAGGACGATCAACATTGCTGGTTAATCCTCCGAACGATATCCCTGAAGCTATGCGAGCAAGACTTGCCGCACAATTATTACTGGCTGGTTTTGAACAAAGACATAAAGAAGAAACAGTGTACAGTGATGAATGATATGTTCATACAAATACAATAATGTATGTATATTTAAGTAATTGAAAATGATTGTTATCAGATGTATTGTTCTATCTGTACCATGTTCGTTCTAGTGATGCTCGTTAGTTCTAACTCATTCACGTTAGTTCTATTCTATACCATGCTCGTTAGTTCTATCTCAGAGCCAGTTCTAATTTTTTAATTATTTAAGTTATCTTCAGACCTCCAGCTGCTCACTTCTTTCGAAGCGACGGTTCCATCACACAAACATGTCACATCATATATTCGCGTGTTCACAAGTCAGTTAAATAAATTAATTAACTTAAATACCTAATACGAACTTCCATCGATAGGTATGGTCACCACCTTTCTTCTACCGGCCCCAGCGTAGGCGCCTCTGCAAACCCCTCCCCCTGCTAAAAACCACAACCCAGCGTCATCTATTTTCATCGTATACCCTCACAAATGGCTGGGGATCCTTCTTGTGTACACTGCCATGGGACAGGACACAGCACTCGAGATTGTCATCATGGAATTACCGCAAGTGCCCTTCCGAGGATGCTTACCGTCCCGGCCAACACCTCCAGCACCATACGACATCTTTCTGCTTTCGCCATCTTCAATCTTGATAGAGGCCGCCCATCGGTGCAGGAGCTCCGAGAGATGCTGGCCTACCGCTTCAATCTTAGGACATGGCCCCATCAAATCAGCGGCTTATAATAGTCATGTAATGAAATAGCTTATAACTTACCTAACTCCAGGGAAAAACGCATTGGCCAAGTTCTCTGGAGCGTAGTTCATCACAATATTGTAAGATCTTTCGTCAACCAGTCTAATGTCGTCTATGTAATCGTTCCATTCTGCTCTAGTATATTTGTAACAGGCAGATTGCAATAGATTACCCAAGATCTGAGTATCTTTTGATTTGAATCCCAAATCCTTCAACTTTGTCCTGAAGTTCTCAACTAGATGCAACACACATCGAGAGTGTATAGAATCTGGAAAAAATTCTCTAACTGCTTCTCTGATCCCCTTATCCGCATCTGAAATTATCACTAGCTTGTGTGGAGGGTTGTATGGATCTGGCCTTTCATAGAGAATAGACCACAAACCTACAAAGAGTTGTGGTTACCATACACGAATTAGAGTTAGCAATGAATGAGCTAGAATTATCATAACCTGCAACAGAACTAACATGGCTAGGGATAGAACTAACCTTGTAAGAACCACTTCCAGTTAACATTATTTTCCTGATCGCATATACAATACGCCAATGGAAATATCCCCTGATTTCCATCATATGCTACGGCGCTTAGGAGTATGCCTTTGAATCGATCTTTAAGAAAGGTACCATCCAAAAATAAGAGTGGTCTACAGCCGTATAAAAAACCATTTATGCAGGCGGCGTAGCATATGAATAACCTTGTAAACCTCCCCTCATTTTGTTCAACATGAATATAGCTACCTGGGTTTGTCTTCTTGACCTCTTCTACATACCTAGAAAATTGAAGATTAAGCGTTAGTACCAACATTGAAAAATTAGTATAATCAACATCACATAAAGAAAATTAGTTTGTCTTTTGTTATATAGCATCTTCTATTTACCATCGTAATTGATCGTAGGACTCATGGGCATCACCATATAATTTCTCTTGTGCTCTTTCTTTACCCCACCAAATCTTACTATAATCGACCCTAATCCCATACGAGCTTAGAAACTCCTTTTGAACGTCAATAGGCCGTATATCCGGTCGAACCTTTAACGTGGGTTGTAATTGGGTAGCAATGAATCGCCTTGAGGCTCTAGATTGACCAGCATTATTGTCATGCTGCCCACAACTGTGATTGTCCACAAACTTTTTGATTTCAAGTCTATTATCATTTTTTGGTGGAGAGGCAAATAACATCCACGGACAATTTTTTGCTGCCTTAAACCAACAAAACACTCGAATACGCTTCGGTTCATTCTTCCCAAACTCGTATTCGAATTTTTTTGCCATGGAGTAGTATAGCAAGGCCAATCTTAACTCCTTCGCACTTTCAAATCGTTGTCCCTCACCGGTTAAAGCTGTGTGCCACCAAGCAGGAATCCTCTCTGATCTGCTAATCATGTCATCAATCGTCATGACATCATCTCCGGAAGGATTGTCATTGGGATTCTTATCTGGAACACTTGTGGTCAACAACGCCGACGGGCCACAGTCTACACTTTTTGATTTCAAACTGCAGAAATAATAGAAGTATCAACAGATAATAGCAAAAGCTAAAAAGCAAAAACGATAATTGCTTGCTGTTAGAATCAATTAGAACTAAAAGAACTAACAATATAACCATTAGAGCTAACAGTGCATTGATTAGAACTGACATAATAGCTATTAGAACAAACAATATAGCCATTAAAGGTTAGTTCTAATTTAACGAAGTTATTTCTATTTTATAACAAGCTATTTCATAATTATAACATGTCAGTTCTATTCTGTAGAGTGTTAGTTCTAATCTGCACAGTGTTAGTTCTAATCTGCACAGTGTTAGTTCTATTCTGTAGAGTGTTAGTTCTATTCTGTAGCGTGTTAGTTCTAATAATCTGCACAGTGTTAGTTCTATTCTATAGAGTGTTAGTTCTAATCTGTACAGTATTAGTTCTATTCTGTAGCGTGTTAGTTCTAATAATATGCACATTGTTAGTTCTAATCTGTAGTGTGTTAGTGTCAGTTCTAACTGATGGCTTGTTAGTTCTATTTTATACCTACATTGTCTAATTTATACCACGTTATATCTAATTTATAACAATTAGGACTAACAATATGGGAACTATAGTGGAACTAGCAATAACTCTAGTAGAACTAACAAAATAGCGATTAGAACTGACAAATAAAACATTAGAACTCTAGTATGGAGCATAACAAAGAACTGCTTAATGACAAATAAAACATTAGAACTGAAGTCCAGTTAAACCTAGTATAGAACTAACAAGAAGACGATTAGAACTTAAGTTAATTGATTTTACAGTTAACCTACATGTCTTGTCGGACTTGCTCGTTTTCCTGTTTATTCGAAGAATCATCTCCTTCTTTAAAAGCTTGCACGTGAACCTCTTTCAGTCCAAGATTGTGGCAATGCTCCACCATAGACGTCAGATCACCATCGTTCTCAATGAGAAATTTTAAGCTTCCAACTGTTTGATCTTCGTATGCCAAAATTAATGACTCGTATGGAAGATCTAACATCTCTGCCGCATCAAACTTAAGATCCAAGATGGTGGTTGAAGAATTAATCTTCAAGAATACCGCTTTATACTGCGAAGAGACAATGCAGATGATGTCCTTTTCAGCCATTTTGATCTGAGGAGGAGGAGTAATGGAGAACTAACTAGTTATTGCTCATGATGGAGAGAGTTATGGAGAGAATTTTGGTCTGAGGAGGAGGAGTAATGGAGAACTAACTAGTTAGATGGAGTAAAAAAAGGGGGAAATTTCCCTCCATTTTCCCCATCATATCGCATTAATGAGAAGTGACTTCCAGGACTCGTCTGGGGAAGAAAGAGAAGGGCAGTTTCGGGTTTTTTGTAAAATACCATCTGCTTTTAGTATAAAGCTGACGTGGAGGGGGCTTAAAACATTAAAGCCCATTTTTTGGGGCTATTCCACATGGGGCAAAGTACAGGGGGGCTAGTCACACGAAGTTCCCACTTTTGGGGCCTGGACACATTTTTCCCAAAAAATAAAAACCAACGTGGTCCAACACATCCTATTATGGTCCATGTGTATTAGCCTTAAAAAACCAAAAATTATGTACCCCAGCCCCTCAGCTCACACGTAGTCCATTTGTATATGTGTTTTACCCATTACTCTGAAAAATGCACTCCATTCATCAAAAGGGAAAGATCTCCGCTCGGATCTGGTGGTGATTGGGGCACTTAGTCGAGATCGCATTGAATGCAATAAGACGGGAATATTGGAGGGAATTTTGGTTGATTTCCCTCTATTGATTCACTTAAGAACCCAAATTTCTCTCAGCCTCACTTGTTTATGACTGTGTTCTCTCATTTATGGTGTCAGGGTTTATGTTCTATAACTCCTCTCAAGTCCTAAAAGTTCATTCATTACTCCTCATAACTCCCCTTCATTAATGGCAAAATAGCCTCTAATTTATATGGTGTTCTTACGTGAGAAAGAGGTATTCTCAGTGGTAACGTTTTCAACGAACTTTTTTAAATTGAAATTTGATGTTTCAAAGAGGTTGAAAGTTCCATATGATGCGTTATCAATGATATATAAATCTAAAAGGAACTCCAATATCAGTTTTGCGATTGAGAATGAAAATGATTTGAAGTGTATAGTGGAGCATATCCATAATATTGGATGTGTGGAGATCCATATGCAATCTAATGTAGATATAGAGGCTTTCACTTCTGAAAACAAAAGGTACCTCCTGAGATGTAAGTTATTGATAAGCTTTTGGAAAAGTTATGATTTCTGTGATCAAAGTTTGGAGAAATATTCTGTGATCAAAGTTTGGAGAAATATTAAGTATAGAGAAACACTTCGGGTTTAATATTATGTATGACAGATACATGTTAACTATATGTCATAATTGTTAAGCTTATCAAATAGGTGTTAGTTTTAAAAATCACTCGTCAACTATTAGACTTTTTCGATAAGTTTACCAATAAATCATTACACTTTTTATTATTTTTTGTGTCGATATTAGGATTTGACTGATTTTTAAATTTGTACAATATTATTACTATATTGACTCACAGTGTAATGATGGTACTCCTGCTGCAAGTCATATTTTAGAGAGGATTCCCACTGATAATTCGTGTAGTGAGAATGTAATGAGATTGATAACATTATTAACAACACTGTCATGATTCCTGCATGGTAGGCACTGCATTAACTGAAGAGGGACAACAATTTGAAAGCGTCGGTGACTTAACATTAGCTTTATCATACTATTCTATGGCCAAAATTTTTAACTTTGAATTTGCAAAGAATGAATCAAAACGTATCTGGATTTTTTTGACCAATATAAGGAAACTTATAGCTACTCTTGGATATTGTTTACCTCTCCTATTAAAAATGAAATGAGACTTTTGATCAACAAGTTTGTGAACAAACACAATTGTGGGATGTATGACAACACTATAGATCGCTCTAGGGTATCCTGCAAATTTATTACAATCCAATTGCAAGCATTGTTGAAGGTGCGACCAGAAATCTACCTTATTGACGTGAAAAAGGAGTTCCTAACAAAGTACGGACTTAGGATTTATTATAGTAAGACATGGTCGTGTGAAGAGAGAGTACAAGGGCAGCTGTATGATGATATTTATGAGTTGTATGATCAACTACAATGATAAAATTTTAAGGTAATTATCTACTCAGTATATGTGTTACAAATTAAACCTAACCCATAACATGTGAATGCTGCCAAATTCATGTTAACTTAAATCATTAACTGTTAATGTTCACATGTGACTGTTAAGTATAATAATTGGGTGCTAATATTAACAGGCAGTTGTTACTTTTACTTGTAGCTGTTAAATTTATGGTTAGTTTATAATTTTACTAAGACATGTCGACTAAAAATGATATATTTTTTAATTACTATTATAAGTATGAGCCCATGGTAAATAAGACAAATCTAGGCAGCCATATTTGCATTGAATAGAGTGAAGGAAGGTTTACAAGACTCTTTATTTATTATGCTGCTTACATAAATGATTTCTTGAGTGGGTGCATATACCTTATATTTTTAGATGTTACCCTTTTGAAAGATTGATATCAATATATACTCCTTAGTGTCATAACATATGATGGATATTAATGGATATTTTCCTTAGCTTACTGCATGTGCGATCAGGAGAATTTGATTAACTAAAAATGGTTCCTCCAAGGTTTGAGGCCCATACTTTATGAAAGGCTTGACTTATACAAATCCTCTAACCAATTCGTTATAATCTCAAATGCGAAAAAGGAATTAGAGAACCAATGAAAGAATATTTTTCAGAAGCTCTCTATTCCAGATGTGTTCCACATCGGAAAACTTTAGATTAAAACTAATGGACTTAGGAATAAAGTTGAAGAACAATCATGTTTTGGGGAACTTGCTCCAATCAGCTTGTTATAAATACACTATAGTAGAACGAAATGATTATATAAAAGAAACTTATGAGATAGATCTAATGACATACACCATTGTTATCAACTACTCCCTTGAGTAATGAGCAAATACATTCATTCCTGGAATTAGATAAACTTATAACATTCTTGCTAAAGTTATGACATGCTTGTTAAATATTTGCAGTACAAGTTAACCCATTAATGTATATATTAAGTTGATGGTGAACACTATTAAGATTATAATGTAATTGTTAACATTCTTATATATTTGTTAAGGTTATGGAATATATATTACACTTGTCTTATATAAGTGAATTTTATGTCATGCTCGTTAAGGTTATGACGTATCTGTTACGATTATAGTATATTTACCTATGATTTATTGAACTTTTTTCAGGTATGGTCATGTTACATCTAATGTTAATGTAGACGGTCAAAATGTATTTTTACTAGTGGAGCCAACTCCGTCATGACATCGAATCTAACCCCTAGTTCAAGTCAAGAACGATAATGAGCGATAGACATGGCAAACTTTTGACTCAAATGGTGATTCAGAAGAAAGATTCAGATGAGCGAATTGAATGTTTGGAAGAGATGGCTAAGCAACTTCTATTAGCCTCTCATCCTCAGGGGAGTTCTTCAAAAGGAAAAGGCCATTTGGTGAAAATACTCTTGAAGATGACCAAGAACATAAAGATGATGCAGACTCTGAACACGCAAGGTCAGGAACGTCTCTACCTTCAAAGCCAAATAAGGAAGCGAAAGCCTTGGAAGATATATAGAAATAACTCAATGTTCTTTCTCAACGAATTGAGCTCAAGAAAGTTAGAATCACCCGACCTTATCCCGTCGAATGAGACATGGTTCCCTACCCAATAAAGTTCAAGCCACTAACGCTTCACACATTTGATGACAAAGGTTCACCGAACCAACATATAAACTACTTCTACCAGCAAACTGGAAATGTAGTGGGTAATGATGACATTAAGGCACGTCTTTTCATTAGCACCCTTCAAGGGGTAGCCTTTGATTGGTTCAAAAATTTGCCCAAAGGTTCAATCAGGTCCTAGACAGATTTAGAATCAAAGTTCCTCTCATAATTTCATGAGAAATAATTTGACGTCACCATGGCCAAACTCCTTTCTGAGAAACAAAGTGGGAATGACACAGTCAAGGAATACATTGAGAGATACCTCAACCTGATATTGCGATGTCGAGATATGCCTTTATCGATGTTGCTTCAAACTTATCGGCACAACTTCATGGTATGAATTGAAGCTCATATGGGCATTGTCACTGCTCATATTTGGAAGGATTTGATGGAGTAGGCCGAGATACCTGAGAAGTCGTCAGAGCGGTTGAACAAATTTGAGCCTCACACCAACTTCAAGGGCAACAGAGGTAAACAAGGACATGCATCACAACCAAAAGTCAAAGAGACTTTCAAAGTTGGAGTCTAGAATCCCAATAACAACCAACAAAGAGAGCCAAGGAAGAAATTCCAGCGCAATTATTCGTTCAAGGATGAACATTCAGTCGCCATCTTCTACGTCCTCAACAAGAGAAATTGTTTGAAGCTTCCAGAAATTCAATCCCCAGAAGAAGTCAGAAAGACCAATGACCGCAACTACTATCTCTATCATAGAATGTTGGGACACAACAAAGAACTGCTACAACATCAAGGGCAAGATCCAGACATTCGTCGAATCAGGAATTCTTAAGCTCAAACCCGAGCAAAAGAAAGTCACCGATAACATAGGTAACCCTCTAATTTGGCTCTATGCCAAAAATTCAAGCCCAAGATGGCGCAATCCCTATTCCTAGTGCAAGAATGGAGGTGGTTAATCATGATCGCTAAAACCAGTAAAGCCGAGGCTTGATTCCTCTTACCATAGCGAGAGAAGAAATAATATGGGTACATTCTGTCATTCTTCAAGATAAAGAATGGACTCTTCAGAAGTCTAAGAATAAGCAAAAGATGAAGGCTTTACACCATCTCCACAATCATTGAACAAGAGTCCATGCATGTCACTTAACTCACCGACTCGGAGGAAGAGAAGATAGCCACGACAGGGACACGATTCAACAAAGATTATCTAAGGGATTACAATCAGCCAAGAATGTTCAAACAACCCAAATAGCCAAACAAAAGGAGACCTGGTTCTATAAAGCCTTACATCGTCCTCTAAGAGACCCTAAGGCCCCGTTCAAATATGATATCATGGCACAATTGACTAACATTCCATATCGTATCACTTTATTCGAACTACTACGTTTGTCTAAGAATACGAGAGAGGCTTTGAAAGAAGCCCTGAATGATAGTGAGGCATTTCTCGCCCACATGATCAAA